CCCCAGGAACCTTCGTGTGGGAGGAAGATATTATGACAAGTCACAAGAACAACTGTGAAGAAGGTACATGTAACAGATACAGTGGAACCCTGCCTTACGACCACCCCGTTAATATGACCACCTCATTATTACGGCCACTTTATTCTGGCCCAAAAAAAGCTCAGTCAGTCATTTTCTTATTTAAAGAACCCCTTTAATATGACCACGCCATTAATACGACCAATTTTCCATGACCCGAAGGTGGTTGTATTACAGGGTTGCACTGTATATATACATCACTCGGACTGAAACATCAGTGAAACATCATGACAAGTGTAAATGTGGGATTTGTTTCTCACTGGTATGGTGTCATCTACACTGTATGCTAAGTGTCATTTCTTAATAAAAGCTTATTTTTATAGAAGAACAGTACTTAGGACAGATTTGTCAGATATTAACTTGGGGACGTCTTGTATCTGGGCCCTGGTTGGAGAAGGATTAGTCTCTGCATCAGACAGAGAACAGTATTTGATTCAAAAAAGCTTAAGTCTTATTTGGAGAAACCAACTGCTTGCAAGGTAGTTGTATTTATAACTGCAATGATCATTCATGTATTGACATCTTTCTCTGTAGTTGAAATCCAAGATCTCCCATATATTCACTTCCACATATTCACTTAAATTAATTTCTCATTAATACTTTCCCAGAGAGTATGATCTTATAGAAAGATCCTACAATCTATGATCAGTGGCTTCCAAAAATTGTTTGAAATCTATTCATAGACAACAGCAATTTTAAGAAAGATGCCTGATTGGTTAAAGATTGTCACACACTACAGGTCACGGCAGCATCTCTTTTTCCGGATGTTGTGATAAATGTAACAGATACTTTGAGTTACGAAACTAATAATATATTTCAGAAAATTTTAAAGTTGCAGCGGGAGTTGATCTCTTAGATCACCTTCGTTACTTGTACACCATTTTATTGGTTTATACACCGTGTTGAGAGAAAATTGTTCGATCCCTCAGTCTAGTAAAAATTGATTGAAGTGCTACTGCAGCTAGTGGAATAAATTATATTTCATCATCAACCATGGTCATAATGTAGTGGTTAGAACTCCTACACTCTGTCTGTAAAACCAATATTTATGAATTTTTAAATTCATCAGGGTTTGTTGCAATACCTGTAGAATTGTTTTAACACGATAGTTTTTATGGACAGTTTAATTTAAGGAACTAAGGGACTGTTAGGAAGACTCAAGAGATGAAAAAGCAACTCAAAAAAATTGTACCGTTGTATATTTTCTCTGTAATCAATATTAATGTCTTGTGTTCGTAGAAATGTGTTGCTATACCGGTGGACGCGTTAGCACTTACATGTAAGCATAACGATTAATTAGGGAAGACAGACATCGACAAAGTTAATTCCATCCCGTATATATATCTTTTTAGGACCACCCAACGGTTTTTTCTCAAATGCGCTGCTTTAGAATATGTGGAGAGCTTTTAAAGCTCTGTAGATGAATTTTAGACTAAGCTATGAATATTTTATCTGTTCAGTCATTTTAGCGGAAATTGAGTCTTCTCGAATTTATTGGGGCGTTTTTGTCCATTTCAAGTCTTTCCAGACGCAATTTTGTTTAATACATAGATCGTCCTCATCTTCCTCATCTTATAAACTGGCGTTTTATTACATCTGCCTACCGCCATTGCACGTGAACGTATTTACATATAAATTACAATTTCTTGTACTTCTTCTTAAATTCTCCTGCTATGTGCAGCCATCAAAATGTTTTATTCTTTTTATCTCTTCCCAGCTTGCTGTAGTTCAGTTAGCCCACGTGGAATTGATACCTTCCATTAGCGAGGAGTTCGGTTTTAAATTATTAAGGTTAAACACGATAACGCTTTACCAGGAATAATTCAGCTAATTAAGTGGACTAAGTGGACCGAAATAATTCATGAATTTTCAAGTGGATTTCCTAGTAATAAACTCACTTAGCTAAAAAAAAGAGCTTCTGCTTAAATATTCAGCCATTATATGCAGCCATCAAAATGTTTTACTCTTTTTATCTTTTCCCAGCTTGCTGTAGTTCAGTTAGCCCACGTGGAATTGATACCTTCCATTAGCGAGGAGTTCGGTTTTAAATTATTAAGTTTAAACATGATAACGCTTCACCAGGAATAATTCAGCTTATTGAGTGGAAATAATTCATAAACTTTCATATGGTTTTCCCAGTAATAAACTCACTTAGCTAAAGAAAAGAGCTCTCTAAAAACAGAGAGCTATTGAATATTCCACTAATCAGAGAATCATGAAACTGTTTTCAGTTTTTTTTCTTCAAACATCTTCTTTTCCTTTATTATTTTTGCAGGTGTGAAAATATAGGTTTCACGGCCAAATGATTTATTCATTGACTGCTTATAAACGCAATGACAGGTTCTTATGAACCCGGCATGTTCATAAGAAAACGTTGTAAAATTCAGACTCTCGAAAGATGCAATTGTGAAAATGTAGGAAGGACGTGCATTTTAATTCAGTATAACATTCGCAATATTACAAATTTTAAACAAATTAAAGTACTAAATTTGCAGGAATTAATATGCTTGAATGGAGTACTACGTGATATGTGACTGCAGTAAGGAAAACCAACCAATCAATCAATCAATCAGTCAACGTAACTGAAACATAGCGAATTTAAAGGAGAGTTGTCCCACTTCAAACGACACATTGCTCTCGTTGGAGGCCGCACCATGATACTCTTGCCATTACTGTTGTTTCTGTCCTCCCATGGGTGGAAATCTTTTGGGTTACAGCTCAAAAGGATGGAGCAACCTTAAACTATCTGTTTTCCCTTTCGTAACCTTATAAGAGGTTAAAATGGCGCTTGTTAGAGAGAAGTTTTAAAAGAGAGGGCACTTAGGAAAGTAGAAGGGCACACGAAGACGTTGGGGTAAGGATCCGATAAAAGAAGGTTTCCTAGACCTGAACTGCAAGAAGGCGCAAAACGGTGGAAAATATTATTTCCCCAGAGTCGGCACGGTAAGCGGGACTTCTGAGCCAGCCGGTGAACACCAAAGCTAACTTGGACATTTCAACATTTCTTTGCAGAAAATAAAAGCTGTAGCGAGATTAAGTTGCGCGATCCCAACGCTCCAAACGGATCATACGTGATCGATCCTGATGGAGAAGGTGGCGTGATAGCTTTCACTGTTGACTGTGACATGACTGACAAGAACAACGTTGGCGTGACGGTCATCAGTCACGACAGCGAAAACACAACACTGGTGCAAGGATGTGAGCCGAAAGGCTGTTACAAGCGTGACATTCACTACACTGGAACAAATCTCCTTCAGCTGGGAAAACTAACGGCCATATCTGCCCACTGTGAGCAGTTTATCAAGTACGAATGTCATCACTCAATGCTCCTGCGGAACGGTAACATGTTTGGCTGGTGGGTGTCACGTGATGGGGACAAGATGACTTACTGGGGAGGAGCGAACTCCATTCATTTATACAAGTGCGCATGTGGGGTAACTGGCACTTGTGCAAATTCTGGATATGGATGCAACTGTGACGAGAATGACAATGTGTGGCGCGAGGACAGCGGTTTGTTGACAAACAAATCTCACCTTCCCGTCATGCAGCTGAGGTTTGGAGATGTAACCCCTTCTACCGAGCTAGGGTATTACACCCTGGGAAAACTGAGGTGCTATGGAATACCCACCAAATAAACACATGCTTGACCTGTAAATGTATCAAGCATTCTAATGATAACGACCTTAACGTAGCTAAACGTTAATCCGGCTCTAGATAAATCACTTCATAGAACATATAGCTAACAGATTATTCTGTTACGAATTAAGAAAGCTACAATACATAACCATTGCATTGATCAAAGGGTCCTAAAGTAGTTTGACTCTTATCTAAGTGATCTTCAACAGAAATGGCTACTAAATGTTGAGCTATCTGTTGCGCGTGGTGCTATCTAGGGTCTGACGAATAAAAACGAATCAATGCTTAAAATACCTAGAATGGTCACATCAGAGACTTGCTAGTATTAAATATATTCCCAAAGATAAACACACAAAATAAAGTTAAAGCCTCCGAGAAAGGCTTCAATAAATAAATGACATGATTATTCATATGGTATTAATACGAAACAACTGCGTAAACAGTACGAGGACCATCAATCTTCACAGCAAACACTTTGTCACGCTTTATGAAAGACACCCTAACATGAGAATGCGAGTATGATCTTCTTTAACCTTGAGTGGGACACAAGGTAAAAGCAGTATATGGTACACTGTTAATGCGACATCTTTTCAAGAATTGCCGCTCGCTTAATTAGGGAAGCGATAAAAATTAAAGCTAATGCCAGTCTGGGAACACATTTTAAACTGCGCGAGTAGTTTTTTTTAATTTTTTTTTTTTCCTAAATTGCCTCATAGCTCTCCAAAAACACATTTTCAGTATGGCCGCTCTGCCACAACATTTCGTCTTGTTTATTTGCCGCGTTCCTTCAAAAGACACCAACGTCGCTCGCGCACCAGCTGCTCTCGCTCGTTAAGAAATAGTAAGCGTGAAGCGTGCAACTATTTAGCAAATAGATTCCATGTTGCCGTGTGGCTGTTCAGTATTAGTCAAATCATAGTTAATAGAGGGGAATGGTTATGACACTCGACAAAATTCTTTGTTGTAAGGTGTTTTAGTTTTCTTTTTGGCCTTAACCGTGCACAGAACACGATATTTGTTTACTACTGACCAAGGAACTAACCTATAGAATTGTTTTGATTACGTAACTCATGCATAGTGTTTGAACGCAAAACAAAAGATTGCGCACGGTCGTTGGCCCTCCAATATAAATCTTGGCATCCTTGTTAGCTCCTTTGATGTTTGCCGAGCTTCATAACCATCCCCCTCTATTAACTATGGTCGAATCTAACTGGGATCCCTGTTGCAACCATCAGTAGCTCTAAAAACCTACCTAAAAAAACTGACTGCCGTAAAGCAACAACTAGCAGCTGAGATAAAAATTGGGCCAAAAGCTAACTCGTCATTATCGATCAGAAAAAAAGCGAAAACCGCGAAACACTTTTACAATAAAAGACAAGTACAAGCCTCTTCATAGTGATAAACCTGCGCGCAAACCAAAGTGTTAAGTTTGATCCAAGAACTACACCGTGGTAACCGTACATACAGTCCGGGGGGACCTTCAATATGAAGAGATGAAAAGGTCGGGAATTCTCATGGTGGGGTATCAAGGATTCTGTACGGAGGTCTTGAAGAAACGCCACTATATTTGGTTGTCAAAGTATATTTTAGGGTGCACTCGAAGAAATAATAATCAAAAACGCCATTTTTTCTTTCCTTGATCGATTTCAACTGGTCTCTCGCTATCGAGTCCGGTCTGCTGGCCTTGGCTCCTTTCCTAAAGAGCGGCTGGTAATCAAGCCTATACCGTTTTAAGTGGAATCTTTTAGGGGTCAAAGAAAGCTTTAACCACACCCAGATTGGTCTCCTTAAGGGGTTTCATCTAAATTTAGCCCCTGCCCCGGTCGGGGGTGCTCCGACGAGCATCCCCGACCGGGCTACCGTATTTTGATGACATGACTAGAAAATAGCTTTCTGAACACACCTTCTGAAACACCGAGCTCGTTACGAGTACCTAAAAACTATACCCGTAACTTGAATTTCGCAAACCTGATTTTGTAGGTATCTTAGGTAAGACCATGCACTCATTGTGGAGAAAACTGAATTAAATTGCTAGTGCTGTTGTTGTAGTAGGGAGACCAATCATTTCAGGCTGTAACGAGCTTACATAAAGAATATCATTTGTTGATACGTAACTTCAGCCTATATCCAAACACAAGTACAGGCGTCATCGATTGTTACTGTCAATTAACTGTATTGATGGAAAAAAGACTCCTAGCTTGCAATATATACATCGAACTGTTTGCAAGTGAAGAACAGCGGGGCGTTATAAAACGAAAACTGGCATGGGCGCTGAGCACTTGGATACACTCTTTCTTTGTTATGAGAATATCTTTTATAGCGGAGCTCCGGCGGCCCGAAGGGCCGCCAAGCGGAGTCCCATACTCATATAGGGAAGAAAAAGAACCCATGACTTGATCTTCTCATGGTTATCATGGCTAGCGGTATTGCTCGTGGGCGCGTACGCATGACGGCGGCGACGGCCACCGCGACGGAGTCGCGTAACATGGCGGCCAAACTCCAAATAATAGGTTGACAGAAACATGCAGCCTTTGTTTACCACGTACGTCTTTAATATTGGTCATCCATGTTATGATCAATTGACAGCTGTCAAAACAAGGTATCTACTGACCAGTATCACGTGACCATATCGGGGGCTCAAGTTTACAGCACATCTAGGTTACGTGTTTTTTGAAGTTGACCGCTGGCCAAGTGCTTATTTTCGATTGGATTGAGGGCTCATATCAGGTTAACTTGTTGCAAACAGAGCAGGATTGTTCGGAAGCCGGTTAACGCTAACCCAGGATTAAAAGTTAACTGAATTATAACTTTTTCTTCTATACAAATGTTTTTTGCTGCTTTGTTTTGTGTATATGGTGATTATTAAAACTCAAAACAAGAGGCTAAACAATATACAGAAAACCTCACCGCAAAGTTACAAAACTCAAATCAAAATTCTTCCTTTTCCTGGGTTAGCTTAATCGGGCTCTGAACAACCCGGCCCAGGAGCTACGCTTTTAGGCTGGCCTAAATAAGAATGTCGAGGCTGAAATTTGCGAAATTTAAAGAATACTTTAACAATAAACCCGAGGCTGAGATTTTGTAAAGAATATACATATAATTTTGTGTGTTGAAAATTTGTAAATACAATACAGTTAAAGCTGTTTTTTTTAACATGCTAAACCGAGCAAAATTGTTCCTTTCTCTAACCCTAAACGGCAAACCTATAGCCTTAAAGCAATAAAAACAACACTAGCCGTATGTTCGATGCCAATATATAACATTGCTGTAAGGTTTATATGAAATAATTCATATATATGAACTGCAGTTGTAGATGAAAGTGAAGAATGATCATCGCAGTTCATATATATGAATTATTTCATATAAACTTCACATCATTTCACTCCTCACGGGAAGATATGAACTCAATAAATTGACCTCACTCCCAATGTGTGGCTTCATAGCTCAGTTGGTAGAGCATCGCACCGGTATCGCGGAGGTCACGGGTTCGAATCCCGTTGAAGCCCTGA